CATGGATTATCAAGCACCAATCATTAATCATCGATCATCAATCACCAATCAACTCTCATCGATCATCAAGCATCATCACTCCATCAATCATCATGAACCATTCGCATCAATCATTGTCAATCATCCTCATCGTCATCATCATCAGCATCTCCCCATCGGCAGCATTGCCATCATCGTCATCATCATCAGCATCTCCCCACCGGCAGCATTGTCATCATCGTCATCATCAATCATCAGTTATCAATCATGAATCATGAATCATTAATCATCATCAATGATGAATTGTCAATCATTAATCATCAATCATCAATCATCGATGATCAATCGTCAATCATCAATCGTCAGTTATCAATCATTAATCATCAATCATCAATCACCAATTATCTGCAATAACTCAGCTTGAAACATGCAGTAGTCGTGAGCCATAGGTCGTCACTTCGGTCTAAGGGCCGAATCAGCGGCCAAAGGCCACACCCAAGTCATGGAAAATTGCCTGAACCAAGGCCTGCTGCTGTGGGTACCCGAAGCATGGCCTCGAAACTGGGCTTCAGAGGCCCTGCGTGTGACCGTTGACCGTGGAAAGTCAAAGGTCAACAGCAGCTCGGAAATTCAGGCTCACGAGTCAAAGTCAACATGGACCCAGCCCAGGCCACCAATCAGACACACACACTTGGCTGTTTGCAGGTATCTGTCGAGAATCCAGTCCAAGTGGGAATCTGCAACTGTATGAGATCCAGGCCATTGACTGCGGGTCAATCTGGGTGGGCCATTGTAGCCGAGAGACCAGAGGCTGGTCAACGGGAGTCAACACTATATGTTGACCCAGCCCCTGCTGACCGACATTCAGTCTTGCACTTGCGGCTTGACGCTGGCTTGACGCTGGATGTACGCTGGCTGGATGCTGGCTGGACGCTGGCTAGATATTGGACGACGACGCTGCTAAGCGCTGGCGCCATTCTCTGTCTTCGGCGCCAGCTCACTTCTTGATTATGCTGACGTGGCTCTCGCCACACTGTCTACGGCATTGATGGGATATTGGCGAGGCGGAGGAGGATCAGGGCTATGAGATTGGTCGAGTGAAGAAAGGAGAGCTTACCTGTTCACGATTGTGTCGACATTGCGCTCTGCTGTTGTCTTCAGAAGGAGTCTGCGCCGTGTGCGCCATGTTGAGATCTGTTCAATGTCAGTGTGTGTCAGAGAAAACTGTCTGGTGACGTGGCGAGTAGGAGATGCCCGAAGGAGGAGTGGGCCAAGAGGGAGATCTATCTGTTTAAGCTGATGGTTACTTTCTCTTCCACCCTCTCAGTCTAATCTCCCTCTCATCACTCTCTTCTCTGGTTACTTGACATTGGACTCTTGATTACTTGTACGATTGGAGACAGTAGAACTGCGCTGAGACATTCTGTACTTCAACATTGTTGAGCTTTCCTCCTGACTGGGTTCAATCATCAAGCATCATCAGTCCATCTGTGGCATACTGATACCACACGGGCCCCAGTTAGGGCCCGGTTCTGTAGCAGGCACGGTTCAGGCCTAGTACCGGGTCACGACGGGCCCAGTTAAGGTCCAGGTAGGCCTAGACCCAACGGCTAGTTCGTTTAGGCCAGGTACCGGTTCATCGGTAGGCCCACACGGCGGTGCAGTTTGGCGCCCATTTTCAGATTCCGAAATCGGATCTGAACCGTTGGGCCTGATCAACGGTCCAGGTCCGAAGGATGTCAGTAGGACTGAGGCCGACCCAGCACTATATCGGCTGGGTACCAGCCTCAGTCGGTAGGTTAGAGTAGACAGGAGGTTAGTCTTCAGGATTAGCGCAGCATTTCAGCGTTAGCAGGATTAGCGCAGCGCTGCAGCATTTCGAGGAGCAGCGAGGAGAGAAGGAGCTCCGCGGCAGAGAGGAAGTAGTGCAGCATTGGGAGCAGCGCCAGCCACCGGCCCAGCCCGCGGCCCAGCACCAGCCCTTTCAGCGCCATAGCTACCGTGACAGGTACCAGGGAGAAAGGCTTTGCCTTCTCTTCCTCATCTTCCTCCACCGCTCTCTCTCTCTCTCTCTCCTCCTACCTTCTCAGTCTAAGTCTACTCCTGGGTTCTCCTACGGGACTACTACGAGTATGAAGGATGGTTACGAATTCTGATGACATTGGAGACAGCGACATTGGGACTATAGGTTGAGGACTACTCGTGGGATCTGATTTCATCTTCCTCTGGAGATGTACTTGACATTGTGAGATCGATATCTGAGACATTGTGAGTCACTGTGTTCACGACATTTCGGATTTTCGCTACCTCTGACATTTCAAGATACTATCTTTGGAAACATTGAGTTGACGTCATCTTCCCTCTCCTCCTCCCTTCGTCTCTCCCCTCCCTCCATTCGTCCGTGGATGATCTCAGATAYGATTGAGAGTGTTCGATTGCAGTCTGAGTCAGGTCAGAGTCAGTCCATGGGTATCAACTCTTCCGCTGTATGTGTATTAACTCTGTATTATCTGGTCGGTTCTGGGAATCTGCGCCATACTTATGACTGTGTTTCACGAGTATGCAACACCATCTATCATCATGAAGCATCATCGTCACTCATTATCAATCATCATCATCATCATCATTAATCAATCATCGATGATGATGATGATGATGATGATGATCATCGTCATCAATCATCATGGTCCATCATCATCGTCATTATCATTGTCAATCACGGATGACAAGAAGAGTACGCGAAGTCATCTTTGCATCTGACTTGGTCGCAGAGCACATAACCAAACATGCAATCGTCATGTGCGGCGTTTGTTTTGCTTAAAACCTACCCTCAACCCTAATTTGGTGTACTGGAATTGACCCTGGCAACAAAAGCTCACACAATTTGCTGCCAGAGTCAAACGTTGTAAGCCTCCTGAAGTTTATAAAGGGTTTAGGGTCTTGGATATGTAAATGAAATTACACTCAAGAAGAAACAAGGGGGAACAAAAATGCACATAACCAAACATGCAAGCGTCATGCACGGATGACAACACCAGCTTCCTTGCCGTGCCTGGTTTCACGTCTGAAATCATGAATCATCATCACTGTTATCATAAAAAATCATCATCGACTGCCATCGTCAATCACAGCTGCCATGTAGTACCCACTTTGACGTCTGAAGTTCTCTAAACTGACTATTTTCCTCTCTGTAATCGGTGGCGTTAAGTGACCTTAGTGCTGGCGGGGTCCCAACGTTTTTGTTTATATATATACGGTACCGGGCAGTTCTGTTTGTGACGATATATATAGAGTTTTCCATCTGGTGTGGGTGAGTGATAGTCTACTTTGATTTTGGTTAAGGTAGATTATCATGTACAGTGTAATCAGTGAGGGGATTCTGCAGACTGTTGAGGGTTCAGCCTCCTGATGAGTTGGTGAAACTCCGACGAAACAGTTTGTCACAGCCCCTCGTTTGTTGTCCTCTTCTCTCTCTCTGCCTACGGTTTACCGGGCAGTTCTGTTTGTGACGATATATGCTACGACTTCGCTAGCTTCCTGCTACGGTTTTTTCCGGTCAG